GAGTGTCACAAATACTTAGCCTTATCTCTATGATTTAGCATTTTCAGCGAAAATAGAGCACTTTTAGCGTAAATACAGTGTATTTTAGTAATTAGGAAATCATCCCTTGATATTTTGAAACCAGCGCCTGAAGAAAAGTTTTAGAACTCGGTAAGATCTTTCCAACTAGATATTAAACGCTTTCAATGACACAAAATCGAGCAAGATATGATCGCATCAAATTCTACACGAATTCGGAGTGAAATCAGAAACATTTTTAAATATATGGTTAATCTGTAACTTTTAAATAATGCATTGTAAATGAAGTTGGAACAATAGCTTTAGAGCTCCGATATATTTTTACAACGAGATATAATACGCCCCAAACGGATAAACACACAGCAAGATATGAGTGTCACAAATACTTAGTCTTATCTCTATGATTTAGCGTTTTCAGAGAAAATAGAGCACTTTTAACGTAAATACAGTGTATTTTAGTAATTTGGCAATCATCCTTTGATATTTCGAAACCAGAGCCTGAAGACAAGTTTTAGAACTCGGTAAGATCTTTCCAACGAGATATTAAACGCTTTCAACAAAAATATCTCGTTTCACTCAGAATATCTATATGAGAACTTGTGCCAAAATACCAATGCAATCTCGTTGCGGTTGTGCTTTTGGGTGCGACCATGATGAACAACAAACCCCCGGCGCGGTATGCGCCAAGGATTACTAAACTTAGATTGCTCCCTTCCCCCGCTCTTTTCGCGGTTCTGCGGGCATTGTTAGCATCTTTATAAACAATATGACTCTCGACAACGGATATCTCGGCTCTCGCATCGATGAAGAACGTAGCGAAATGCGATACTTGGTGTGAATTGCAAAATCCCGTGAACCATCGAGTCTTTGAATGCAAGTTGCGCCCAAGGCCATCAGGCTTAGGGCACGTCTGCCTGGGTGTCACGTGACGTGTCGCTCCCTTCTAGATTTTGGGAGGAGCGGATCATGTCCTCCCGTGCCTATGTATGGTGCGGCGGGACCAAATGCTTGATACTGTTGACGGACGTTCTGGCGATTGGTGGGTGTGCCTAAAGTGCAAACGTCGTTCCACGTTCAATTGTTTGCGGATATCAGAACCATTGGAGTCAAAGTGATTGTGTTTACGAAGTGCGATCCCAGGTCAGGCGGGACTACCCGCTAAGTTTAAGCTATTATTATTATTATTATTATCATTATTATTATTATTATTATCATTATTATTATTATTATTGTTGTTGTTGTTGTTATTGTTATTATTATTATTATGATTATTATTATCATTATTATTATCATTATTATTATCATTATTATTAGTAGTATCATTATTATTATCATTATCATTATTATTATTATTATTATTACTATTACTATTACTATTATTAATATTACTATTATTAATATTACTATTATTAATATTACTATTATTACTATTACTATTATTAGTATTACTATTATTATTACTATTATTATTATAACTATTATTATTATTATTACTATTATTATTATACTACTACTATTATTATTATTATTATTAAACACGATTGCCCACAATACATCACATGCCGTGACAGTCCCCATGGTCACAACGTTCGCATGAGGATCCCGACAATTCAACTCCTCATGGGGGGAGAACAAGAGGCCATAGATACTTGAGCATGGTGCTTCCTATAGCCACACCCCACAGCCAAACCAACCCTCATCTTCAACTAACCAACAACCACCCTCATCTACCCAAAACCAAGCCGCTAGCCTTCATATCTCTAGTCTAGTCGAGCTAGATAAAACATTCTGAGGCTTATCTCCTAGAGATACAGACCGAGGAGGGAATAGAAGTGCTGACAGTGTTACCTCTTGTACATCACTACACTCAGACCATCAGTTAGAACCTAGTTCGAAGCTGATGATAATGGGCAATCCTAGTGATCTCGACTCTACCTCTTCTAACAGCACGCCAGCAGTAGCAACAGCTCCATCTAACCCTCCGTCCAAGGACATTCACGACGAGCTCGAAGACATTATTATACACGACAAATGGCCTCGTCAATGGACGTAGTGGGATGATACACGACAAGACGTAGAAGCTTATGAGATGCAAATAAACTTATACATCAGAGAGCTGCTCGCTAAATGTGCTGCTGATATCATACGGCTTGATAACGAGGAACTCAAAGAAGGGGAGGACTACAAAAAGGCTCCTAAGGAACTAGAATCGATGATTAGGCAGATAGCTGCGCAACTGCCCAAAAATGAAAAGCCTTGGGAGAATGTGAGAATAAAAGCCCCCTTCCAAGAGGAAGTCAGAAAGCGAATATGGCGCAAACCATAGAAGGTTAAGCAACTTGATGAGCTCAAAGCCTGAGGTCTTATCCATCTGAACGGTAGACAAGTCAGAGGACATCTGCACATGCTCAATCACAGATCTATGAGCAAACAACGAGAAATCCCGATGCATGATCTGAAGAACAACAAAGTTACTGTCTAGGCGATTCTGAAAGTAGACGAAGCAAATCATCATGGAATAACATACTATGCCTATCGGGTTCAGTGCACAAATAGTAGTGAATTCGTCTGTCAAGAAAATGATTTGATTATGATGAAAATGGATGACATCTATCAGATGTTCATGGCTTGTAGAGACCTTCCAATCAGAACCGACAGAGTGAGGAGAGAAGGCTTTGAAGCAATTAAGCGGTTCATGCTGAGACAAATTCGAGTTCACGCTTCTAATGATCTGCAAATGGCCCTAGAGAACAACATTCTGAAGGTAAATCTAGCTAAACCTATATTGTATGGACTGGAGCTTGAAGACTTCGGAGCTTATCATATTTTTGAAACTCCACCTGCAGTAGTGTATTTAAATCACAAGCAAGAGAAGCGCTTGATGGTTGTTAGTGAAATCCACAAGTATTGTGATGAGACTGTGAAGATTATCCGAGAGAAGGTGCAACCAATCAAAAAAAATCTTGAACAAAGACTTGTCAACGCTACAGATGAAGAACTAAACGAGTTTGACAGGCTGCACACAATTCTGAAACCCATCAATGAACAACTTGACAAGAGAAGGTCACTCAGACAGTACGAGCATGCACTGAATATCAGAAAGAATTATTTCAAAGCTCAGAAATGAAAACAAGACGACACTTGATCACAAAGGGGGAGATTGTTGAAGATTACTTTATTGTGAATCAAGTTTGTCACATGTCTTGTTTAGATAGCCTTTATTATTGCCTTTAATAGTATTAATCATTTGTAATAAATAGGCTAGAAAAGGAAATGGGTCCAAATATGTCTAGCCCATATTCCCAGGCGTAAAGCCTTTATCGATAACCTACCTGTGCCTATATATATGCGCTTAAGGCTTAGGTTATCAGTTAAACTTCATACATAACCAATATCATTATAAAAACATTCACGATATATTGAAGAGAGTTTTCATCGATCAAATACTTCTATATCATTATGTGAATCTCTATTTCTGTTATACTGTGATGCTACCATTATGATGTTAGATAGTTTAATCTCAAGATTGGGACCAACATGTTTTCACCTTTTTTAAAGTTTTTTACGTTTTTGATAATTCATATATTTTTTATTTTCTTGCTTTAATTCATACTTTTCTTATTTTTATGATTTCTTATTTTATTTTTTAGAATATTTTAGAATTTTTATTTTTAAACTTTTTGACTCTTTTAAAAAGTTTTAAGATTTAAAAAATATTACTTTTAGTTTATTTTAATTTTTTGAAAAAATACTTCATTTTATTTTATTTGTTATATAGCTTATGCTCGTAAGATTTAATGCACTTTTATTTTTAAAAAGATTTACTTACTAGTTTTCATTTTTCATAGTTGAAAAAATTAAGAGATATAAGACTTTTGCTTGTTAACAATAAATTTAGAGATGAGACTTTTGCTTGCTAAGAACATCTTCAATGTTACAATGTGCATGATGCACATGTGACATGAGAGATTGTTACATACATATTAGTGAGTAAATGATTTTATGCTATTTTGGAAGGTTTTCCTTAACAATGTCAAACACAATGTCTACATCTAGACGGTCTTCTTGACATTGTGAAGAAAAAACTTACCAAAATTGTATAAAATCATTTACATAAGGAGAAAATAATTTATTTATTAATATTTATGTGGCTCTTTCTCATACCACATATGCACATTGTAGCATTGAAGATGCTCTAACGTGGACAAAACTATATGAGTGCACAACTTCCCTTTTTGGCAACCTGAGTGGCCTTTCAAGGAAGAAAGATACGTATAACCAGTTAAGGTCTACTTATGAAAGCAAAATAGAAATTGTTCTAAATAGGAGTAAGAACGTTTTGAAATTCCAAAATAGAAGTATCATGTTTTCCATTCCCTGAATAGGAGTAACTTGGCAGAAATTTACTCCTATTCAAGAAATAAAAAACACGATAGTCCTATTTTGGAATGGGAAAATGGAAACTAATAATCCAACCTTTTAGAGGTCTTCTTACAATAGTCTCACCTTTTGATTATTCAGGAATAATCCAACCTTTGCACCCATCTTCATTCAATGGTCTCTGACCGGTTGATGACCTGCTATTCCAAGTTATTTTCTTATCTTTGCAAAACATTATGTGACCATAAGTTGAGATTTATGGTATAATATATTGCAAAAATAAGAAAATAACTTGGAATAGCAGGTCATAAACCGGTCAGGGACTATTAAATGAAGATGAGGCGCAAATGTTGGATTATTCCTGAATAATCAAAATGTGCGACTAAAATGTTGGATTATTAGTTTCCATTTTCCCTTTTGGAATTTCAAAACTTTTTTACTCCTATTTAGGAAATTCTCACAAATCAAAACTTGACTTGGTCTATTTTGGAAAATAATTTCTAAAAGTGAAAAAAGTGGTATTATTTCCAATTTTTAGACCTTTGTGATATTTCCCTTTATGATTGCTCCTGGGCTCTGTGATCGATAATGGGCCTGTAGATCGGGAATGCTTTAAGCCTTTTTATTAGTCGACTTGGCGGGAAACAATTGCGGCCGCTTCATCATAATCCCGCCTTGCAGACTAATAGTCAGATTTACCTTCCAACACTGAATCAAGCGTTGCCCGAAGCGTAGAAGAACCAGCAAAGAAAGACGAAGTGGAAACCAGAGAAAACTGATCAAGGCAATTTATACATTGGGAGTTTTCAGAAATGGATAGTTATGGCGGCGGCGGGTACTTCGTCGATGAGAACGCGGCGCAGGTGGAGAACGTTTTCTTGGAGTTTCTCAAAAGGTTCGCTTCTTCAACAATTATGTTTTTCAACCTCCATTTCCCTCCCTCAGAGCAACCTCAATCAGGTCCCATTTCCATTATTTACTGTTTCTTCTTCCTTTTTTTGCTGCCAGTTTCCGGTTGGATGCCAACTCCAGAGAGCCGTACTATGAATCGGAGATCGAAGCCATGCGGCCTAATGAGTCCAACACAATGTTTATTGACTTTTCCCACGTCATGCGTTTTAACGACCTTCTTCAGAGAGCTATATCTGATGAGTTTCTCAGGTAGCACAAGATTTTTTTTTTTGGGAGTTTCCAAAATATCTTCTATGGATTCATTAAGTTTGCCTTCTTTCTTTAAATATGTCAAGGTTTGAGCCGTACTTAAAAAGTGCCTGCAAGAGATTCGTGATGGAACAGAATCCCAGTTTCATAACTGACGATAACCCTAACAAGGATATCAATGTTGCTTTTTACAATCTTCCCTTAATTAAGAGGTGCAAGCTGCTGCGTTTATTCTAGAAAAATGTTACCTTTTTTATATATTTCATTTAATTAATTTGAACTAAACTGACATGTAATCTTCCTGATCGAGTTGCAGATTGAGAGAATTGACTACATCAGAGATAGGGAAACTGGTGGCTGTGACAGGAGTGGTTACTCGAACAAGTGAGGTTCGACCTGAGCTTTTACAGGGAACTTTCAAGTGCTTGGACTGTGCTGCTGTCATTAAGAATGTGGAACAACAATTCAAATACACAGAGGTTTATTTGTTGATTCTCAGTAGTACTATCATTTTAAAAGCAGACATTGATATTTTTATTGATATATGGCTATATTGACTAGCTTATTCATTCTTATGATATTTAGGAGTTTGTATGGTCAGTGTATAGAACAGGTGAATAAATTGCTTGTATGCCTTATGCGTGACTCTTCCCTTGCAGCCTATTGTCTGCATGAATGCTACATGTACAAACACAGTAAGATGGGCCTTGCTAAGACAAGACAGCAAATTTGCTGACTGGCAGAGGGTTAGAATGCAGGAGACCTCTAAGGAGATACCTGCTGGTTCTCTTCCAAGGTCACTTGATGTCGTTTTACGTCATGATATTGTTGAACAAGCCAGGGCTGGAGACACGTAAGTAGGTTTTATTATTTTCCTATCTCACACAGTCACACATGTAGATGAATAATGAATCTTATAGTACTATACAGTCTACCCAGCTACTCAAAGTTGGATACTTTTGAAATTAAATATATGTGATAAATTTTGTTGTAGGGTTATATTCACTGGTACTGTTGTGGTAATACCAGACATACTTTCCCTGGCCTCTCCAGGAGAGAGAGCCGAGTGCTGCAGGGATGGTTCTCAGCAAAAGAATGCAACTGCAGGCCAAGAAGGTGTTAGAGGGCTCCGTGCATTGGGTGTGAGAGATCTATCCTACCGCCTGGCCTTTATAGCCAATTCAGTTCAGGTCATTGATACTAGAAGTGGTAGTATATTGTTGTTGTTTGCAAATGTGGGTAGACTGTGATATGGTTTTGCTTAACGTCTTCTTAAGTCGCTTTCTTTCATAATTTGCAGGTATGTGATGGTCGAAGAAATAGTGATGTTAGAAATAGGAGAGATGCTGATGAGGACGACAATCTACAATTCACGGTATGTACTTATCTCTATGTTCAATTGTCATCAGTTAGTGATTGTTAGATAGATGTCAATTACAATGAAACAAAGGAAATACATGTTTCTTTGTAGTAAGGCATACCTCATAAATAAAGTCAAATGAGTTATTTTGTTCACAATTTCACATTATTTAAGGATTGTTTGTGTTTGTTTTTACTTTCGAGAAGTGATTTATTTTAAAGATTATATGAAAAGCGCTTAATAGTACAAGTTGGTAGTGTTTGAAAAGAACAGTGATTTTGAAGAAGTAAAAGTTAGAGTATTTTGTGAAAAAGGTACTTTTTGTGTTATAGAAAAAGTGAAAAGCACTTTAAAGCACATCCTCCTTATTTCCAGCTTTCAGCTTAAAGTGTTTAATTTAAGCCAAAGTGCTTGTTTGAAAATACTATATTTAGCTTTCTTAAGGCAAAAGATGAAAAACGAGTTTTAAAAGTTTCTGCAAACACTGTCTAAATAGCTAATAAAAATGGTCAACATGGGAAGGTGGGTAATTCTTGATTTGTGAATAAGGATCAACTTTTCATATACTCTAACATTCCGTATCAGAGTTTACCTGGATTTAATACTCCTAGAAGTAAGGACTCTCTTGCTAGGCATTCCTTCGTTTCACCATTTTCAAATGTTTGAATATCACTAAGCTATTTAAGAGGCAGAGGACTTGCAGTGCAATATTTGTGGCCGGCAAAACTTTATTATTCTATTCTCATGTATACAACCATGAACCATCTTGGTGTCAAATGATTGGCTATTGATTTGATAGGCAGAAGAGCTAGATGAAATTCAAAGAATGAGGAATACTCCTGATTTTTTCAACAAGCTCGTAGATAGTATCGCTCCAAGTATTTTTGGGCACCAAGATATCAAGCGAGCAATCTTGCTAATGCTTTTGGGTGGTGTACACAAGTTTACTCACGAAGGCATTAATTTGAGGGGAGATATTAATGTGTGCATTGTTGGTGATCCTAGTTGTGCAAAATCTCAATTTCTCAAGTATGCCTACTTCAGACGGCTATTATTTTTAGCAGCACCCTCGTGAGTTTAATTTATTGCACTGTTTAATATTATTATTGTTTTTTTACTCCTAGGTACACATCGGATCTGGTTCCCAGATCTGTTTACACGTCTGGTAAGTCCTCATCTGCAGCTGGGTTGACAGCAACAGTAGCCAAAGAGCCAGAGACAGGAGAGTTCTGTATTGAGGTAGATATATCACTCATGTTTTTTTTTCTGTTTGCTGCATGTGAGCTTTAATAGAGAATTTTGACAGATCTTTACGTTAGGTAAGTCATTTGTTATTTTCATGTGCTGAAGTTTTTAATACCTTGAGGCTGAGTTTGTTTGTCAACTTAAATTTTATATAAATTCGATTGGACAATGGAATTCTATACATTTGAATACTTGATTTATAAACTGATGAAAAGGGATTATGTTGTTTGCTGAACGGTGTAGTAATCCATGAAGTATGACTTTTTTGTATGTTGTGCCTTTTAATACATAGTATAATGTTTTCAGCCTTTCAGATATGTTTTGGTTTCAGAGATTTGATGGAATGAAATTTGTGTTTCAGGCAGGTGCTCTAATGCTTGCAGATAATGGTATATGCTGCATTGATGAGTTTGACAAGATGGATGTTAGAGATCAGGTGATTCAATTTTGAGGATTTATTTTTCTTTTCATCTTTGATTAACATCTAATGGTAAAAATATGTGCCACTCCTTAGGTTGCCATTCATGAAGCAATGGAGCAGCAAACAATAAGCATTACAAAAGCTGGTATTCAAGCAACACTAAATGCTCGAACATCAATTTTAGCTGCTGCCAACCCCACTGGAGGCCGGTATGACAAGAGCAAACCTCTGAAGGTACTTTTTATGCTTTGTACAACAATTTCCTTTATGTCAATTTTCCCATTCTTTTTTCAAATAATAATTTCCTAAATGATTTTACAGTATAATGTTGCACTCCCACCTGCAATCCTGTCAAGGTTCGATCTGGTGTATGTTATGATTGATGATCCTGATGATCAGACAGATTACCACATCGCTCATCATATTGTGAGACTTCATCAGAGACGTGAGAGTGCTATTGCCCCTGCGTTTTCTACTTCACAATTGAAGCGTTACATGGCGTACGCTAAGACTCTGAAACCTAAGGTATCTTAGGGGTTGTTTACTTTTCTTTTTCTCTATTAAGCCCTGTCTGGATTAAGTCATCTGTTTGGGTTAAGATGTCAGTCTGGTTACTTTTTTTGTATATGAGGCTGGTTATTTTGTATGCCGAATAAACAGTTTGAATCTAGTAAAATAATCAATTTAGTATTATTCTTAGATTAGAATGTCAATGAAAAGTTCATTTATTAATATAAATCTATTTCACAATGAATTTGAAAAAATTGATGGAAAAAACGTCTTAATAGACCTCTTAATGGTAAAGACCGCTATTCTCTGGCTTAATGATCAAGTCATTTTTGACTGAATGATCAAGTCATGTTTCCAATTAAGTCGTAAGTAAACATGACTTGATGGCTGAATGATTAAGTTGCCATTCCCATTAAGTCCATTAAGTCGAAACTAAACAACCCCTTACTTATATTGTTAAGTTCTCAGCCTTCTTGGCGACTAGGTGGCTTTTTTTCCACAGCAGAGCTTTAAACTTCAGATGTTCTGTACTATGCAGCTCACACCAGAAGCCAGGAGATTATTGGTGGAATCTTATGTAACTCTTCGCCGAGGAGATGCAGCTCCAGGGAGCCGAGTTGCTTATCGCATGACTGTAAGACAGCTGGAAGCTTTAATAAGGCTTTCAGAGGCAATTGCTCGATGTTATTTGGACCTTGAGGTGGTGTCAATAGTTTACAACTTAGTGTAGTTTGTGTATATGCTTTTTTTCTTTTCTGCTCTTGAGCTCGGTATAATATATGAATAGGTTCAATCACGTTATGTTCGACTAGCAGTAAAACTCCTAAAGACATCTATTATCAGGTAAAACTCCTAAAGACATCTAAAGAATTACAGTAGTTTTTAGTGATGCCTAATTTATGTAACTCATGTCATTATGTTTTGGCAATTATATTTTCTCAGTGTGGAGTCGAGTGAGATTGATTTGTCTGAGTTCCAAGACGATAACCTGGATGACAGTGTTCATGAAAATGGAAATGATTCTGCCGCCCATGAAACTTGTCCAGAAGCCACTCCAGAACCACCTGCTGGGCATGAAGGTGAGAATAAGTACCAATCTAATTTTCTAAAAATTTATTCTGCTGCTTTTTGTTAACTATGAGATGTTGCTTTGGGTGGGCTGCAGAAAGTGAACCAGGCGAGGCAGGCAAGCAAGGAAAGAAACTTGTCATTAGTGATGAATATTTTCAGAGGGTGACCCGTGCCCTTGTCCTGAGATTAAGACAGCATGAAGAGACAGTGATGAAAGAAGGTAAAACCAGGATGTGTTTCAAGTTACATATTAAAATTCTTATAAAAATTAAATAAATATAAATAAAATCATCATTGACTGGATATTTTTACTTGCACATATGCAGGGACTGGGTTAGCGGGAATGAGGCAGCGGGATCTCATTCAGTGGTATGTGAATCAGCAAAATGAGAAAAACAACTATAGCTCCATGGAAGAGGCAGCTGCTGAGCTCACAAAAGTGAAAGCCATTATAGAGGTAAGTTTTACCTTTTTTGGAGCTGTTCATTTGAACCTAAATTTGATGCTATAGTCTGGTTTGAACTGGTTTAGTGTGTTTAAGTATAGTCTTCTTTGGACAAGTCTGTTTAGTCTATTCTGCAATTGTCTCCAAGGTGACAAGGTGTGGTACTATGCATACTTGATTATTATTTAATATCGTTTGATCTAGTTTGGTTTGGTCAAGATTGTTCAAGTCTATTTTGGGGTGTTATGGTTTGGTTTGGTTTGGTTTGGTCTGTCTCACGGTCTCACCTGATGAGAGACTGAAATAAGTCTAAGTAAACAAAATTTCTCTCAATGGTCAAACCCCGTGTCTTTATGGTGTATATGTTCATCTTGAATTAGAAAACAAATACGGAGTATAAGAATTGCTATATTGGTCCATGTTGCAGAGTTTGGTACGAAGGGAAGGCCATTTGATAGTCGTGGATGAAGGTACTCCAGCCGATGATGGTGAAACCGCTAAGAAAACATCAAGAAATGACCGCATCTTAGCTGTAGCACCTAATTATGTTGTAGAATGATAGGGTCAACTGATCAAGGAAGTAATCTATGTATACTGCCCCTTCAATATTTTTCTCCAGTCACTGTTACAGTCTAACCAAAGCGATATAACAATTGCTACTTCTTACTGTATTGTTTCTTTAATTTAAAGTGGCAAATTTAATGAGAATCGCATACCTCATGTAGTCAGTGCTTCTAGCCTCCTAGGTTGTTTGTTATAAACTTTGATGACTCTTTTGGTAGTTTACACGTTGAATTTTTGGAGGCTAAATAATTGCATGCAAAATAAATTATATTACTCCCTCCGTTTCTGAAACAAGTTCCACCTTTCCTTTTCGGGCAGATTCAAAATCAAGTTCCACTTTCAAACATTTCCTTATTATCTACATCAAAACAGTGTCAAACAGTGGTAAACAATGTTCAAACAGTGCCAAACAGTGCACTCCACAGTAAAGTCAAATTTATTTTCTTAATATGTGTGAAGTCAAATGTGAAACTTGTTTTGGAATCGGAGGGAGTATTTGGCTAGACTTCTCTCCAGCCCTCCACTCCACATGCAAATTTAATTAAAATGACGTTGACTGAAATGCATTCGCAGACCGGCTGCATCATCCTATACTTGGCTAGATCAGTTTGACTTCAACTATGCGGTTTGTGACATTAATTAAACTATTGAAGAATGGGACAATAGTTCCCAACAAAAAAGACGTTTTTTAATTTCGTGGGAATTTTTGTGTTTGGGCTTGGAAGACATTTTCATTGACGTCATTTTCACATCTATTACTCAAGAAATACATCTAAATAAATACCCCTAGAAATTATTGTTTTATTCCCAAATGAAGTAGCCTAATAGTCATCCAATTTTCTGGCGTATAAGCTTTATTGATCAATTTTTTCATTTCCTTTCCGATGTATAAAAAATCATTTTTTTCATCATGTGATTTTTGATTTTACATGTAAGTTGCGTAATAATCAAGATAAGTAATGTTGAAATTAATTTTCTGGCTGGATTGACCAAAGTAATTGTAGATGATTTTTTAACTATATTTCGTACTACCACCGCCCTAAAATATTTAGATATCCTTAAAACTTTGACTAATTATATATTTTTATTGGAAATTATTTATAGTATAAAAATGATATGAAAATGTTCTATGCGATTTGGGCAACCCGGGGCAGCAGCTCTACCTTATAAGGGTATTTTTGTTCAACCACAAATAAGAAACCCTATTTATGGAAGTTTATATTGGCCTTGTTTGACAATCAGTTTTTAGCTGTTAACTGGTAATGACAGCTGGTTGACAATAACTGGTTGTGTTAGCTATTTTAGTTGGATGATTATGTTAGCTAGTTGTCAACACATGTTTGGTAAATTAACTGTTTAAGAATAGCCGTTGTCTTGTAAAAAGACATATAAGGACATTAGTATTTAATGTAATTTCTATTTAAGCATTTCAAAAATTATACGTTGTAATTTCTATTGCAAAGAAATTATATAAAAAGGATAGAGGTAAAAAAAAAAGGTGAAAGTTAAAATATGAGAAAAGTTTGTTACATAAATGTTGTGATTAAAAATGAAATTAAGTTCATGCTTATTCTAAACTAGGTTTCAAGCCAGTACATAATTTAGTTAATTTTAAATTTTGATTTTTGTTCATAATAATATATAATGTGATGCAAAAGTAAAATAAACTCGGTTTGAATATAGAGTTCGCTTGATAATACTAAAATTGGTGGAATCGACTTATTTTATTGAAATAGAATAAATTCTGGCTGATTGGGCTAAACAGGAGGAATCTCCTAAATCATGAGAAAAACATTTGTAAAATAAAGAAACAATTATATGAAAAAAATTAACATGTTCTTCTACACAAGCATATCAACTAAACATAACTATTGTGAACCCGAATTTAGAGAATTCACAAAGAAGCTTCTTAATGATCTCACGTCCTCTAAATTACTTTATTATGCACTTCATTTTTTTTTTCATATTACTCATTCAACTTGGTATGAAATATGGAATACATACTTTTAACTTTTAATATTAAGATCTTACATTTTACTCATTATTTCGTCACATTGAAAATGTAAAAAAATGGAGTTTTTTTTTACATTTTACTCATTACTTTGTCACATTAAAAACTATTATTAATTGTTTTGATGTCTATTTTACATTTTATGTGTCCTTTTATTATTATTATTATTATTAAAGTTTGATCTGGTCTGATCTAGATTGAGAATGAAATCAATCTAATTAAAAATATCCCAAGAGTATAAATTATGAATTTGTAAACATACAAAGATTTCCTAATTTGGATTAGGAACCTGTTTCAAAAGTGATAACATATTTAAATTTTAGTTGTAAAATAAAGAAACAAAACAACCAAACATAATTACTTTTTGGCTAGGCTAAACCTATTTACTTGTGAGGACGCACACAGTGACACACACACATGCATGTATGATATCAATTTTCATCCTTATTAAATAAAAAATAAATAACGGTAAGCTACTTGATTAGAAGTATTCTCTTTGAATGATTCTCTTTAAATATTACTCTTAAAAAAATTACTGCGTGCTTATAGAAAGTACTATGTATAAAATGTAGTCTATGTGTACGGTTAGTTATTAATTGTTGTGGTTCCAATTAAAGAATTTAATAATTACTCCATATCAAATGCCTAATAGCTAGGTTTGAAAAAGTTACCAAATAAGGTGGATTTGTATTAAACGGTCTTTTGTTTCCATATCAATATGCAATCAAAAATAGAATCTAATAAAATAAATAAAAGGTAGGATTATGTGATGAATGACATGACATGATTATGTGGCCCTTTGTATGCTCTTAAGAAGTTCTTCTTATATATATATATTGATTTTATTTTGAATTTTTGAGTAATGTATCTGCTTTACATATTTTGGCACTTTCACAAAATATCATAACAAATACTCCGTACTACTTTGTTATCAAACACTTCAATTTTAAAATTTTCACCACAATTATTTCTTCTAAAACATTGTCGGAAAAGAATCAATAGAAAAAGAAAGAATCAACTTTTATTATTAATCCTTTGGAAAAATAGGTAATAATAATCCCAACTATACCCGGTCCGCTTTTAATAATACCTAGTTTCGATTATTTCCCTCTAGTCCCAACTTTTGACCCCCTTTTCCTAAAACAATCCCGCGCACTCATTATCGGCAAAACCGGTAAATTAAACTTTAAACATCACCTTTCTCATGCTTCAACCTCTTTACTTCTCACCTACCTCATATTAATCAACGTTCCCATCCATAGAAACCCCATCCACAGAAGCTTAGACAATAGAAGAACCGGGCAAACTGGAGCTTTGTTCTTGCTGTCACGGTGGAAGGTAAGAACTTATGAGAAAACTTATACTTGTTATACCTCATATTATTGCATTCAAATGAAGTTGGACTGAAATGAACTTGTAACCTATTTGTCATTCCAGAATTTAGGGTTATGGTTGTGTTCATATAATGCTTATTTTGTGTAGACTAGTTCATTAACAAATTACCATTTAATTAGTTATAGGTCATACTACCAGATGGAACAGAGTTTAATGAAACTAAACACATGTATCTTGTGTATACTGAAATCAACCTAGAATTGACATGATGCTTGTGTAGACTAGTTCATTAACATATTTCCATTTATTTATAGGTGATACTTGACATGGCTACTTCAACTGTGATTACAATTAAGATGTGGCATGGAGGTATCTTTGAGCACAACAATCAGAAACATTTGGAGTATGTAAATGGTGAATATAAATGCTTTGACATCGATGCTGATGAGTTGTGTTGGTTTTGGTTAGAAGAGCTGGCTGGAAAATGTGGGAAATATAGTAGCATTGATGATATTTACTACTTGATTCCTGGTCAAAGTTTAGAGAAAGGTTTGAGAAGGGTTAAGCTTGATGATGAAGTCAGGGAAATGTATAAAGTAGCTATGCAATATAAGATCATTGATTGCTATATAAGACATGGACTCAGCTCACATGAATTGGTGCTCCTACTTGAAGGCGGTGGGGATAATGAAGGGGGGGGGGGGGGGGGGGGGGGGAGACTGAAGATGCCGTTAGTGAGGGGATAAAATGGACTTCAAGAAGTTCAGGTTTGAGTGCAACTCAAGCAAATTCAAGGAAGACAGCACAAACCTCCACTTCACAACCAAACAACTCAAGAAGTCAAGATGGACCAGAAGATGGAGTTATGGATGATGAGGCTTCTGACTCTGCGGGGGATATGGGAGATGAAGATGGTGAGGACTTAGAGGTCCCACTAGTTGGATATGATCAAGATACAAGTGATGAGGAATTTAGAGAGTCAAGAAGAAGAGTGCATGGCTGGAACTCCAAGATTGTGCAGATAGCCAAACAACTGCAAAAAGAAGCAGGTCAAGGCAAGTTAGGTGATTCAACCCCCCCCCCCCCCCCCCCCCCCCCCCAAACACAGTAGAGGAGGAAGAAGATGCAACTCAACATGTGAGTGACTATGAGGAATCAGGTGATGATATTGACACACCTCCTGGGAGTGATGCAGATGAAAGTCTCTCAATATCAAAGAAAGAAAAAATTCCTTTGGTGGATGCAAATACTGACTTCAAGTTGCTGAAATGGCAGGTTGGAATAAAATTTGAAAATAGGGAGAAGTTTAAAGATGTTGTGGCCAGATTTTCCATTGCCCAAGGAAGAAATTTGAAAATCAATGTAAGCCACAAAGAGAGACAACAGAGAATAGGTGCAAGATGTGTAGAAGGCTGTCCATTTAGACTGTATGCTAGTTGGTACAATAGAAGAGCATGCTTTGTTGTTAAAAGTGTAAATGGAGAGCACACTTGCAACAGGAATATGAAAAAGAATAGACAGTTAAAGGCTCTATGGGTAGCAACACAATTTCTAGAAGTGTTCAAGTCTAGACCTCACTGGCCTGCAAAAGAAATAATGGAAACCATTAGAAGAGCTTACAAAGTGCTGGTGAAGAGGGACTTTGTTTATAAGGTCAAGTATCATGCCCATAGAAAACTTCATGGAAGTATGACTGAACACTACAACAAACTTGGAAGGTACTTGGAAGCTCTTACTCAAGCTAACCCCCACAGCCACTTCAAACTCTTCATAGACCCAACAATAAAGACCTTCCCTCCTACATTTCAGAGATTCTTTGTTTGTTTCAAAGGGGTTAAAGATGGATGGTTGAGTGGGGGTAGATATGTGTTATATGTAGATGGATGTTTCATCAAAACATTCTTAGGTGGGATGCT